ATATATATATAGTGAGACAAATGGAATAAACTTATGATAAACTTTGAGTAAACATTAATAGAAACTCAACAACAAAAATTCAATAATGAGACAAAATAGCATCATCTACTAAAATACATTTGAATCATATCGTCAGTCAAAATAATGGATGTAAAATCATAATAGAAGAAGAAGAAAAAGAAAGAATTGACTCGGGCTGTTTATAACATATAAAAATAATAATAATAAAGAATTATGATATACATTATATTTTTACAATGTATGATCCATCGGAATCATAAAATAGAGCCCAATAGCCATAGATGCAAGAATATCCAATATCCTATAAGACCCAGCCTTGCCCCAGGCTTGCTCATCAGTATCCGGCCTCCTGAAACCCTGCACGAAGCCATTCATTTCAGTATAACAGTTTCTGTATATATCTACATCTACACACACACACACACACACACACACACACACACCATTCAATTCCTATTGATTTACATGTCCAACATCAAAAGTTTGATTCTTGCATATAAACTCCTTATGCATAAGAAGGTCTGTTTCACTGTTTAAAAGTTAAAAGTAGTGAAATTTTTTATGTGCTATGACAGACTTGGATGGCACAAAGGAAAAAGGTAAAGTTCAGGTGTGTGATTTGTAAATAAATAGGAACTGGGAGGGATGTATGTAAATGCCCCCATGAACTATAATTTACAATTCAATTGCTTTTCCATATCTATCTATCTATCTATATATATATATATATGGAAGCTTTAAATCAATGCTACTAAATTCCTATGTATTTAGGTATCCAACATCAAAACTTCAATTTTCACGTATATGCACGGTGTGTTTCACTTTTTCAAAGCTAAAATAATGATATTTTTTATGCAATATGAAAGATCTACATTGTATAAATGTAAAAAAGCAAAGGTTTGGTGTTAGATTTGTAAATATATAGGACTTTTGGGGGATGTATGTACATGTCCCTATCAATATAAAATTGTAAAGAAAATGCATTTCTTCACATTTCCTATATATTAATTATGTTAGAATAAAAAAAATTAATACAATATAAAAAGCTAAAGAGGTTGCATTGACAAAACAGTTTCACTCTTGCTAGATGGCTCAAGCTATAGTAAAAAGCATGAAAATGACAAAAATATATAAAAAAAGGGAAATTTACATACAAACCGCACAACTCTCCTATATTTATATATCTAACACTAAAAATTTTATATTTACATTTCTAAAACTTTCATGTGATAAACCAGTGCATGAAAAGGTGTATCTAACTTTCTAAAAGTAGTTTATAGCCGTATTTTGTAATATTAAAAATTTGAGTGCTATGTATATAAAAAATAAAATTTGAGAATTAGGTATGTAAATACATAAAAAATACCGCTCAATTCCTATGCATCTACATATCTAATACCTAAATTTCAATTTTTACACATGCCACCTTGTCTATGCATGAAAATTTGTATTTCACTTTTTAAAGTTTAGACGGCAGTAACTGTGATGTGAAACGAAAGATTTGGGTGGTAAAAATATAAAAATGTAAAGTTTATGTGATAGATATGTAAATCAATAGAAATTGGGCGGTATGTATATAAATGCCTCAAAAGAAAGATAAAGTTCAAATCATACCAAATTCCATCAACCCTGTCTGCAATCAATCTCCCATGCTTTGGTATCAGTCCAGATGTATTCAGAGATTTAAATACATGACCTGCAAGAAAATAAAAACTTATGTATTACAACATAAAACCATGAACTTTCAGTTTGAACCTTAATAAGGTTATGGAACCAAACCTTTTTCGTCAGTTTCATGGGAAGTAATCAGCTGCTCAGACTCAGATTGAATATTAAGAACAAGATGTTCATTTGATCCTTTTCTTGTTGTTCTCACATGTGCAGAGACAGCAGGGGGTTTTGTGCTAATTCCCACAGGTCCCTGCAAATATTGTAAGAATGTGGGTGCTTTGAGTAAAAAGGAACCAGCAATATGTATGGTAAGATTGTAAATGTTGAAAAGATGGTAGGATAGGGGTGTGAATTTTTGGGTCAAATCAAACAATTGAACTGAACTGAGCTCATTTAATTGATTCGGTTAGATTTTAAAATGAAAAGTCGGTTTTTGATTATAAACGTTTTAATATTTGGTTTTGGTTTCAAAAAAATAAAATAAAATTAAGATTAGAAAATTAAATGCATTTATGATATCCCAATTAAAGTGTGAAAATATCTAAAAAATTAAAGAGTATTTTTGCTTACTAATATCTTCAATATTATTTTAAAAACTAAAAAGATGTATGAGGAGTGGAGAAAGAGTATTTTGGTTTCACTTTTAAGAATAACGAAGACGCACAAGAGTTTGCAAGTTATAGAGGAATTAAGTTAATGTGTCATACTTTAAATTATAGGAGACGGTAATTGAACATAAGTTAAGACGCGATACAAAGATTTCTCATAATCAGTTTGGATTTATGTCGAGCAAGTTTACAATGGAAGTTATACATTTATTGAGCGGTTTGATGGAGAAATACAGAGTGCAAAGAGGATCTACATATGATTTTTATTGATTTAGAAAAAGCTTATGATAGGGTTCCAAGAGAAGTTCTTTGGAGAGTTTTAGAAAAGAAAGGTATTGATATTACTCATACTCAAATCATTAAATATATGCATGCAGTATGCTAGAGTTGTTACTCGTGTTCGAATAGAACAGAGATTGGCCAAGTATTTTCCTATTTCAGTCGAATTACATCAGGGATCGACTTTAAGCCCATATCTTTTTTGCTTTAGTTATTGATGCTTTTACTGGACATTTACAAGAGGATGTACCTTTGTGTATGATTTTCGCGGATAATATCCCTCTTGTTCATAAGACTACAGAAAGAGTTCAGAAAAAACTAGAATTATGGAGGTCTATATTGGAGTCTAAAGGTTTTCATTTGAGTAGATCTAAAATTGAATGCATGGAATGTAATTTTAGTAGTAGTAGCTCTAGTGATAGAGTTGTAATTATCGGTGATCAAATCATTAAAATGTATTAAACTTTTAGATATTTAGGGTCTATTATTCAGAGTGATGATGATATAGATGGGGATGTTATTGGTAGCATTTAGGTTGGTTGGTTGAAATAGAGGAATGCATCGTGTCTATTGTGCCATAGAAAAGTACCGTTCACACTTAAAAAGGAAAATTTTATAATATGGTGACGAGACCTGCAATGCTTTATTGCACAAAATGTTGGCCTTTAAAAGAGAAGCATAAAACAAGTTAAGTGTTGCTGAGATGAGAATGTCATAGGTGGATGAGTGGCATGACACTTAGAAACAAAATATGAAACGAATATATCCATAAAAGGGTTGGTGTACTCCAGTGGTAGACAAGATTAGTGAGAGTCGTCTTTAGATGATTTGGTCAGACTAAACATCGACCATCTAATGATCTGAAGTAGACCTAAAAAGATTTGGTCATATTGTATAAAAAATAATCTTAATCTATTAGAATTAAAAGAAAATATGACACTCAATAGGAGATGAAATTGAATAGGGGACATTGGAGAAAAAGAATTCATGCAGGCGACCCTAGTTAGTGGAATAAAGGCTCGTGTTGTTGTTGCTGTAATGATATGTTTAGTTTAGGTCAATTTGAAATTTTGAAGAGATGGTAAGCAGAGAAGCAAGAGAGATGAAATTTTTTAAGGAGCATTTACATAACACCCAATTCTTACGTATTTACATATCTAACACCTCAACTTTACTTTTTACATTTATATCACACAAATCTTTCATGTCACATTAAAAATACCACTATTTTGAACTTTTAAAAAGTGAAATGCACCATTTCATGCAAAGGTAAGGTGACATATTTATGTAAAATTAAAGTTTACATGTAAGATATGTAAATCCAAAGGAATTGAGTGGTATGTATGTAGATTTTCCAATTTTTAATTTTGAAATAGAAGCTCAAGTTTTTGAGGTATGGGCAGCTAAAGATGTATTTCTCTTCTTAAGGAGCACTAACATACATGCCTAATTCCTATGCATTACATATCTAACACTTAAACTTTATTTTTTTACATTTATACCACCAAAATCTTTAATATTACTTTACATTAAGAAAAAGACATCTTTCCATAAGTAAGGTGTATGTAAAAAAAGAAATTTACATGCTAGATATGAAAATACATAAGATTGAGTGGTATGCATGTTGACTTTGTAGCAATAACTTCGCCGCATCAAATGCATAACAAAGCTATCAATCATTAAAAAAAAAAGGAAGATTTACATATATATCACTCAATTCCTATGTATTTACATATCTAACACCTAAACCTCAATTTTTACATACGTGACATCTTACCTGTGCATTGTATTTCAATTTTTGAAAGTTAAAACGTCGGTATTTTAGATGTGATATCAAACATTTGGGAGGTATAAATGTGAAAAATAAAGTTGCGTATTAGAATTGTAAATACATAAGACTTGGGCGGTACACATGCAAACTCCCCAAAAAAATTCAAAACTTTAAATAAAATTTAAGGAAAAAGTATCTAACCGCCTCTTCGATTTCCGTAATCTCTGGCCTCGTCATCCCCGACGAAGATTCAAACACACTCCTTTCTTTAACAATTGGTTGTTGAATCCGCGCAAGCAAATCCTCGAGATACTTAATCTTCCCTGATAATTCGTCGGCAATCTCATCCTTTGCTCGCAACTCGCCTCCAAGATTGCGTAATTCAGATTTGGAGTTTTCAAGATCCACATTCATGGCGATCATCTGCTTCTCCAGAGCTCCTATTAACTCTATTGCCGTAGCCGGTTTCAGATCTTCGATAGTATGGCTCCTGACAAATTTCTGCGTAATCTTTTCTAAAATGATTGTCAACTCACTCAGCTCTGACTTCATCAACTCGAGATCATGAAGGTCAGCACTGATAGATTCAGAAGACTTCCTCAAATTTTCGATATCACAATTCAATGAATAGACCTCTTTCTGTAACTCAGAGAACTTATCGACGACGTAAAAAAGCTTGTCGATAGGACTCAAGAAATATACTTCTTGACCCAGTGAGTCAGACTGAGCAATCAGGTTATTTACTTTGTTGAGGAGGACTTCTACCTGATCTTTAGAGATAATTACATCCCCAGCTCCTGAAAAGAAGAAAGATTTAGATCATAGAACACAGTAAAAGCAACGAATATTTACATGCATAGCACTCAATTATTATGTATTCTGAAAAGGAGAAAGATTTAGATCATAAAACACAGTAAAAACAACGAAGATTTACATGCATAGCACTCAATTATTATATATTTCCATATATAACATCTATAATTCAATTTTCACATATATGCCACTTTATATATGCATGAGAATGTGTATTTCACATTTTAAAAGTTAAAATCTATAATTCAATTTTTACATATATGCCACTTTATATATGCATGAGAATGTGTATTTCACATTTTAAAAGTTAAAATGAATGTATTTTTGATGTGATATGAAATTTTTGGGTCCTACAAATGTTAAAAAGTAAAGTTTCGATGTTGTTATGATATAAGAATTGGGTGGCATATACGTAAAATGCCCAAAACAAAAGAAGATTTACATGCATACCACTCAATTCTTTTGTCGTTACATATCCTACACTTATAGTTCAATTTTTACATTTACATCACCATACCTATGCAAGAAAAGCTGTATTTCACTTTTTAAAAGTTAAAATGTGGTATTTTTTCATGTGATAACCTATGCAAGAAAGCTGTATTTCACTTTTTAAAAGTTAAAATGTGGTATTTTTTCATGTGATATTAAAGATTAGAGTGCTATAAAGAGTAAAGTTTAGATGCTAGTATGTAAATAAATAAGAATTGGGTGGTATGCATGTAAATGCCCCAGACCAAGGAAGATTTACGTGCACTCCACTCAATTCTTATGTCTTCACATATCTAACACCTATAATTCAATTTTTTACATATATGCCACCTTACCAAAAGGTGCATTTTAATTTCTAAAAGTTAAAAAGATGGTGTTTTTTATTTGATATGAGATATTTTGATGGTATAAATGTAACAAATAAAGTTTAGATGTTAGATGTGTAAATACATAAGAATTGGGTGGAATGTACCAAATGAGAGATGTACCTCTATCTTCTGCAGTTAGAGAAAGCTCGAGCCGTTTTAACTCGGCTTCCTTTTCGTTAATCAAATCTTCTTTCGACTGGTAACCGTTCAGTTTAACTTCCATCTCGTTGCAGACATTTTGAAGCCCTTTAATGTCCGATTCCGACTTCAAAACTCGTTCTTGAATCAGTTTCCTCTCATTTACAGCAGTTTCAGCAGTCAACTCGGCATTTATCAGTTTATGCTTCAAGTTTTCTATGGAAACTGACATTTCTTTATTCATTTTCGCTAAATTCTGAGACTGAGTTATTACTTTTCTACAAGTGAGAGAAAGATTATCAGCTGCTTGGGCGAAGTAACTAACATCCATTTTTGTTGCCTCGCCTTGAAAAGAAGCAGGCGAATTCATTTCTACCCCGGCGGGAAAATCTTCGAGTTTGGAATCTAAACACAAAAAATCAGGAATTTTGACTCGGAGTTCCTGAGTAGCATCATTGCAAGCAGAGAGAAGGATCGCAGCTTCTCTTTGCAAGGAAGAAATCTCAAACTCTTGAGCTTGATTACGAGCTTCCAAACTTTTGATATTAAGATTCAACGATTCACCGACATGAAGAAGACGAACAAATTCATCCTTTGCCGCCTGTAAAGCTTGCATAGTAAGTTTGATGTAATCATCCATGTGCTTAGAAAGACCTGCGAATCTATCATTTGCAAATCTGGCCTCTTCATATATATTTTGGATAATGTTCTTGCAAGAGACAGCTCCGGTATCTTCTAATACAGCCTCGGTAAGAAAGTTTTCATTTTTAATGAAGTCCTCAAAGCATGGGAGGGAAGAAAGACTAGCAAAAGCAGGAATTTTCTGCAAATTATGATATTTTTAAGCAATCTAGAAATGGATTTAGCCATAAATATTTACAAATAAGGGGCATTTACATACATAGCACACAATTTTTGTATATTTACATATCTCACACCTAAACATTCATATTTACACACATAGCACTCAAATCTTTAATATCACATCAAAAAATAGTACTATTACCAATTTTTAAAAGCGAAATGCACATTTTCATGCATAAGTTTAAAGCACCGAAGTGCGATGAATGTAAATACGTAAGTTCAGGCGTGAAATTTGTAAATGCATTAAAAGTTGTGTGCTACATATGTAAATTTTCCATTAATGAATGTGACATGGCTTCAAGCTTGCATTGTGCCAAACAGAATGAAGTATAAAAATGTATCAAAGAGAATAAGGAAGAAATTTCCATAGTTTAATTTTGATCCAAAGAGAAATCGAAAGGTTGGTTATAAAATAAAAATAGTTATGGTGTTATGTGTAAATGTGCATCAGACTCATAGAACTTCCGCTACCAATCCTGCTTATCTTCTGAGGATATTTAGTGCGATTTATGAAATTATTGCAATGGAAGTTTAGTCATCAGTGATATGCAGTGGGCAAGCTTTCGAGTGCCTGCAATTTTGTTTTCCAATCTACCAAATTCTGAACTTTTACATTTATAACCTTTCATATTAATTGCCAAACCGCTACATAATCAAGAAAAAACCATTTCTTGCATAAAGTTGGATGTTCATAAAAAAACATTGGTAGTATAAGCGTCTATTATGCCTATAAATAGATTCTTTAAAATCATCAATTAATTTTAGGTGCATTTATATACATACCACCCAATTCTTATGTTTTTACATACCTGATACCTAAATTTTGTTTTTTTACATTTCTACCGCCCAAATATTTAACATCACATCAAAATACCACTATTCTACCTTTTAAAAAGTGAAATATGCATTTCATAAACGAGTATGGTGGAATATATGTAAAAATTGAAGTTTAGGTGTTGGTTATTGAAATACAAAAGAATTGAGTGGAATGTATGTAAATCTTAATTTTATTGCATTGCATCTAGGAATCTCCTACAAGTTAGATCTTCATGCGTGCTATGTTATACTTATTGCATTACTTAATGGTTGACTATGGTTTAAAAAGCCAATATAAGTCAAGATGATCACCACAAATAATACTCAAGAACACAAGAATTATCATGATTTAACATAAATAACATAGTTTGTGAAGTATGATATCTTAGGGTCTAGGGTTTCTAATGCAAATAAGTAAATGATCAAACTAATCCCTAAACTTTTAAAAGTATAATTTTCATTGATTCATGTCTGCATTTGTATTTGTAATGTTTGAATGCTTAGCCGGTGTTAATAACTACTTTTAAGGGAAAACTTGTTGTATTGATGTGGGCTTGGTTCTTCCTCCTGATAATTTACATTGTTGATTTGAATGTATGATTAAGATTTTATCGAGTGCAACACATGCCACATTTTATATTCAAATATTAACTTAATTATTGCTAAAATTTTACGTCTGTTTGTAATTTTTCTCATTGAATTTCATATTATTTGAGCAACTATTAAATTATTATTTGGAATGAATGAAATGTGTTGGCTATTTTCCAAAGTGATTCACTTTTGCTAATATTAAAAATTGGTAATATGTGGGTTGTTATTTTTTTTGTGGCATTTACATACAACCCAATTCCTATGTATATCCTATTTATTAATAAATCTAACACCTAAACTTTACTTTTTTACATTTATATCGCCCAAATCTTTTGTATAGCATAAAAAACAACACAATTTTAAATTTTAAAACTGAAACACACTTTTTTACACATAGGGAAGGTGGATGTATGTAAAAATTTGATGTTTAGGTGTTAAATATGTAAATGCATAAGAATTGAATGGTGTATAAGTAAATATTCCTTTTTTTTTTTTTTTTCATTAGTTGCGCTAATGCCTAGCCCTTAATCATCCTATATCAAAATAGAATCATGGCCTAAGTTGTTGTCATCATGTCTCTTAAAACTAAGACTAATTACCATGATTGATTTACAAACTATCATAACGATGATGTTCTAAATCTTTCGCAAAACCCACAAAATAATAAATTAAACCAAAAAATAAATTAAATTAATGAGCAATTTGACATGTTGGAAAGTTTTCATTTATAATATTATTAGAAGATGAGAAACTCGCCATAAATAAAATAACTAAGACAAAAGTCATATGAATACGCCAATAAAAATTATTATAATAATAGATGACAACCTTTTGATAGTAATGATGAGTGGTTGTATATACCTTAAATGGGATATTAAAATTCAAAAGCATTCTTTCATCGGATAATGGTATGGATAATTTGCTTTATTGCAAACAATCTCATTTGAGCGACTAATTAATTTTACGAAATAAAAACTTCCAAGCCAAGTAAGGATCTGCGTGTAGAACAATAAAGAGAATGATGAAGGCTAAAACTAATAAACCATGTGGGTTAAGATGAAACTATTGTTAGAAGAAAACTTGTTATCTTTACCCGAGCTAGAAAAATTAGTAGATGAGTTTTAACTCACTAAACCAAGCAAAAAATTGCAAACAAATACATGAACAACTTCAAGGAATTACTATAATATTCTAAAATTAGAGAAGATCTAAAAAAACACCTTCTAGTTTATAATCAACATCAATTGGGGGAATTGCATGATTTGTTATTGTTGCCGAGTCAACTCAAACATGAGAATAAAGTGTTATACAACAACAACAAAACCTTTATCCCACTAAGTGGGGTAGGCTACATGAATCATTTTTTCTCCACTGCATCCTATTTAGTGTTATATTTTCATTTAATTCTAATAAATTAAGATGATTTTTTATAAAGTCATGATTTTTTCGATAAATTTTACGCAAGCAATAAAGTGGTATACATCGATAAAAAAATTAAGTGTCAAAATGGTCCCTTGACCATTTATAT